GATAATATCCATATGCCTACAAGGAAGACCAGTTCATACAACTGTTATTCAAATGTATGCACCAAACACTAATGCCAAACATGAAGAAATTGAAGATTTTTACCAACTTTTTCAGTCTGAAATTGATCACGCAATCAAGATGCATTGATAATTACTGGTGATTGGAATGTGAAGGTTGGAAATGAAGAAGGATCAGTAGTTGGAAAATATGGCCTTGACGATAGAAATAATGCAAGACCAATGACTACTTACTCATTGCAAATACCTTTTTTCAGCAACATAAATGACATCTATACATGTGGCCCTGGCCAGATGGAATACACAGGAATCAAATCGACTGCATCTGTGGAAAGAGAGGTTGGAGTAGCTCAACATCATCAGTCAAAACAAGGCTGGAACAGACCATCAATTGTTCACATGCAAGTTCAGGTTGAAGCTGAAGAAAATTAAAACAAGTCAAAGTACAATGTTGAGTATATCCCACCTGAGTTTAGAGACTATTTCAAGGATACATTTGACACATTGAACACTAATGGCCAAAGACCAGATGAGTTGTGGGATGACATTAAGGACATTATACATGAAGAAAGCAAAAGATCATTAAGAAGAAAGAAAAGACCAGATTGGATGTCAGAAGAGACTCTGAAACTTGCTCTTGAACATAGAGCAGCTAAAGTAAAAGAGACGAACAGATAATTTAAAAGGGTGGCTCGAGAAGACAAAGTAAAGTATTGTAATGAAATGTGAAAAAACCTGGAGTTAGAAAACCAAAAGTTAAGAACACTCTTGATATTTCAAGCTGAAAGAAAATAATCAGGTCTCGAGTTGCAATATTGAACGATTCTATGAGCAAAATATTGAACAATGTGGGAAGTATCAAATGAAGATGGAAGTAATAACACAAAGTCACTGTCCCAAAAAGAATTGGGCAATATTCAACAATTTCAGGAGGTAGAATATGATCAAGAACCAATGATACTGAAGGAAGATGTTCAATCTGCACTGAAGGCATTGGTGAAAAACAAGGCTCCAGGAATTGACAGAATACCAACTGAGATATTTCAGCAAATGAACGCAATGCTGAAAGCGCTCACTTGTCTATGCCAAGAAATTTGGAAGACAGCTACCTGGTCAACCAACTGGAAGAGATCCATATTTGTGCCCATTTCAAAGAAAGGTGCTCCAAAAGAATGCAGAAATTATCGAACAATATCATTAATATCACACACAAAATTTTGCTGAAGGTAATTCAGAAACGGCTGGAGCAGTACATCAACAGGGAACTGCCAGAAATTCAAGCCGGATTCAGAAGAGAATGTGGAATGAGAGTTATCATTGCTGATGTTAGATGGTTCTTGGCTGAAAGCAGAGAATACCAGAAACATGTTTACCTTTGTTCTATTGACTATGCACAGGCATTTGACTGTAAGGATCATAATGAGTTATGGATAACGTTACAAAGAATGGGAATTCCAGAACACTTAACTGTGCTCATGCGAGACCTGTACATAGTCCAGACATAGTTGTTCGAACAGAACAAGGGAATACTGCGTGGTTTAAAATTGGAGAAGTTGTACACAAGTTGTATAATTTCACCATATTTATTCAATCTGTATGCTGAGCAAATAATCCAAGAAGCTGGACTATATGAAGAAGAACAAGGCATCAGGATTGGAGGAAGATTCATTAACAACCTGCGATATGCAGATAACACAACCTTGCTTACAGAAAGTGAAGACTTGAAGCACTTACTGATGAAGATCAAAGACCACAGCCTTCAGTACAGATTACGCCTCAACATAAAGAAAACAAAAATCCTCACAACTGAACCAGTAAGCAACATTATGATAAACGGAGAAAATATTGAAGTTGTCTAGGATTTCATTTTACTTGGATCCACAGTCAACACCCATGGGAGCCGCTGTCAAGAAATCAAACACCGTATTACAATTGGGCAAATCTGCTCCAAAAGTGTTAGAAAGCAAAGATGTCACTTTGAGGACGAAGGTGCGCCTGACCAAGCAGTGGTGTTTTCAGTCCCCTCCTGTGCATGTGAAAGCTGGACACTGAATAAGGAAGACCGAAGCAGAATTGATGCCTTTGAATTATCGTGTTGGCAAAGAATATTGAATATACCATGGACTTCCAGAAGAACAAACGAATCTGTCTTGGAAGAAGTACAGCCAGAATCCTTCTTAGAAGCGAGGATGGTGAGACTCCATCTCATATACTTTGGACATGTTATTAAGAGGTACCAGTCCCTGGAGAAGGATATCATGCTTGGTAGAGGGTAAGCGAAAAAGGGGAAGACCCTCAATGGATGGACTGATACAGTGGCTGCAACAGTGGGCTCAGACATATCAACAATTGTGAAGATGGTGCAGGACCGGGCAGTGTTTCATTCTGTTCTACATAGGGTCACTATGAGTCGGAACTGACTCAACAGCACCTAACAACAAGAACAACTTGACAGACACAGTTGTTGGCACTGAGGACAGATACTGCAGTGATTAAGACAAAGTACAGTTGATTCTTGTTATTTGCAGAAGTTATGTTGTGTAAAGTTGCCACAAATACTGACTTAGCAAATAGTGAGCCATTGTTCCTAGGGAAATAAGGGTTAGGTTCCTGTGAGCCTCTGGTCACAAAATTTTTGTCAGCCCGTCAATACATAACCTTGTTTTATGTATGTTTCTGTTTAAAGACACCTTGTTTAATATATGTTGTTGATTCATTAACATTGACCTCATGCCCAACAGCATTATAACTCATGCCTGAACGGAGCTTTATCTAACACATGTATTTTTTCCATAAAGCACATCACAGTCTTTTTGCACTTACGAACACTGGATAGCACGTCCACACTACACTGGGGGCCATTTTAAACAGAGAAATCACCAACAAAAATGCCAAATAGTGTGGTACTAAAAAGACTGTTTAAAGGACTTCTGTTCAGAGAATAAGAGCTGAAACGAGGAGAGAGTGGCTTTGTTCAGCCTCAACTGAGAACGTGTGTGCCAGCGACTCAAAATTTTCACCATTTTGCACATGTCCACAAATGACCAGGAAAGACTGCAAGAGCTGCCCAAGTATTGATTTTAGGATTACAAAAGAAATTTTAGTGAGTAGGCGAATTTGTAAATACAGAATTCACAAATTCAGAATCCACAAATAATGTGGAGCGATTGTACTTTGCCTTTGTCGGGCTTACATTCTGACAAGGGGAGACCAATTATCAACATGTAAGACAAATAAGCAATTAGATAAATAGTATTAATATAGTGAAATAGTATTCAGTGAAAAACGCCACAAGCAAACGAAAGAGCACGAAATAGTGTTTTGGTGGGATGGGCAGAGACTTTTAGCTAACATGGTCAGAGAAAGACTCTCAGGGGAAGACGAATGATGGGATGGAGGCAGGCAAGCAGAGGGAGTGGCAGGAGCAAAGCCTCACAGAAGGCCTTACAGGCTTTGCTGAAATAATTGAATGTCATTCTAATTGCAGTAGGAAGCCATTGCATAATATTATGCAGGGAACTGATGTATTGAAAAATATCATAATTTAGGCGTGTTACCATGTAAGACCAAATGGTATGTTAAACCGCGTTAGGATAAATACCTTGCAGCTAGAAGCTTTTCAATGGAAAATGATATTGGCATTTTCACTCAAATATTTCTATTTCAGTGTAAGCACTTTTGAATAATACTTCAAATAAATTATGTGACCCATATCAAAGAGTGTCATTAGCAGTTTTAATTATCTAACTTTTTTAAATTAAGGCTGGTTCACGTTACAGGCTGTCCTCGGGTTACAAACTTTGGATTTAGAGCCAACTCCTACTTGCCCTTTAATGTTATGTAAATTTGCCCTCACTTTAAAAGTGCTGAACCAACTCCTACTCGCAACAAATTCTTCATCACAATCAACTCCACCTGCAGCTTTTAAATCATTGAAAAGACTTCAAGCCTTTTCTTGCACTAACAAAAAAAATCCAGTGCCATAGAGTCAATTCCGACTCATAGCAACCCTATAGGACAGGGTAGAACTGCCTCATAGGGTTTCCAAGGCTGTAAATATTTACATAAGCAGACTGCCACATCTTTCTCCCATGGAGTGGCTGGTGGGTTTGAACCACCGACATTTTGGTTGGCAGCTGAGCACTTTAACCACTACACCACCAGTGCTGTTTCCTTGCACTAAAGTAGGCTAAATAAGAACCTTATGCACCTGGAGTGGATCTCGTTCATAAGCCGGGACTGCCTGTGCTTTGTATCAGCAGTTGCTTATTTGTCCTTCTCGATAGTTTGCAGTGTGCTCTTACCAGCTGTTACTCTTATTATCTGAATGCGAATAGATTCAGGTGACATTGCAGGTCATAGCTGTCATTAATTCCAATTGTATTCATTTTCAAAACCCTCGTCAACAAGGCTAGCATCTGTTAGAAAGAAAATCATTCCTGTTGTTGGTTATATGCTTGTTATTTCCTCACTTAAGTTCTGCCTTCTTTTTTCATCAAAATGTTAGCACTGGGAAATTTTATCTGCGCCAAGTCATAGCTTGCTGCCTTTTTGCTAGCAGCTGAATATGCTCAGAAGGATGTTGAGTGCAAATAGCTTTGAACATTCTTTCGTTTGCACTTGGGTGCTGTACGAGGTGACAGGACACACTGGAATAGAGCAACAATGGAAAAGCAACTAGGGTATTGTAGATCCTGTCTCAGCAAAATACTTTTTCACGCCAACTAGAACTTCAAATGTCATTTCTGCTTTCAGCATGTCTGATATCTGCTCACTCTTCTGCTTCTGGTTCAGGTAAAACTAAGATCAATTTGGAGGCCATACAATTCTTTAAAATCTTGTGTGTTGTTAAAATAGATGTAGATTTCTACTTTTTTTTGTTTTTAAATTCTGGAGAGTTCTGTCATAATTTTCAAGCAGCTTAGATATTGTCTTATTATCCATGGCAACTAGTAGTATAAATTGCTTTCCTTTCTCTCCAGGAAATGCTTCCAGACTGCACACTTTTATTTAGAGGACAGTACGTCTCCTCGAGTCATATCCACACCCCCAACACCTATCTTTCCAATTTCAGGTAAAAGCTTAAAATGTAACCATGAATAGCTGTTAGATGTTGAATGAAAAGCACAAAGTTGGAGGGTTTGTTTTTATTGGGGTGCTTTGCAAATGGTCACACTGTAGGTTAGTAAATATTTATGTTGCCCAAAATATTTAGTACAACAGATGTCAGGCACTCAGCTTTATGTCCTGTTCTCATTAATTTTGAGCATTCTTACCTATACAGATGATATTGTTAAATAACTTATAATTCTTCGAGAACAATATGTTAAAGAACACAGAGATTTATAGCAGTAATGCATTACTTACGAATCATGCTGACTTTCACTGATTTCCAACACATTAATGGAAACATGAGCAAGAGGAATGGTGCTAAATCAATGCAATAAGTGTGGATTAAAGAAAATAACAAAAATAAGGGTAAAGTCCGATCCTTTCTGGTAATCTGAGTTTATGTGAGAAATGACTTCTTAACTGCATTAGGAAAAAACAAAACTATAAAATGGTGGGAGTAGTGATGGAAGAAAAACGTGAGCACAAAGAATGAATGGTTGACTGAAATGCTTAAAGTCAAAATGTTGAGTGGTTGAATGTCTGGAAAAGTATTGACTGTTTTTATCAAATTTACCTAGTTAACAATAAGAAGTACTGTAGCATATAGAAGGAAACAAGGACATTTAGTCACCAAACCAAGGAATACCAAAGGAGAAATTCATCTGTGTGGTCATTTTACAGAAGGCTCTTTTTAAATTGTCTCTACTTACATATTATTGCTGAAGATCCAAGTTCTACGTGATTGGATAACATGATTCTACATGATTCTCATGAAAGAATGAGATAGAGAGAGAAGCATTTTTTAGATAATATTGGAATTAATTTGTATATCCATGCTAATGTGGTATGCGGAAGAGTATGTTTGAAAGTGAAGGGAATCAAAATGCAGCAAATAACTGAGCTTTCAAAAGGCATAGAAATTAGAAGTGTCTTTGCTCTTTTTCTTCTTTTATCAACCATGTCTTTAACCACCCTGGTCTGTTTTTCTACCTTTTTATTAAGTGCTGCACATTTATTTTAGTAGAGCACCATTTCTGATTAATTAACGTATTTAGAATTTTGAGACTCTCAGCTGTCAGTTATCTGTTGCATTTTGATCCCCTTCACTTTCAAACATATTTCTTCTACACACCCCATAAACATGGGTATGCCAAGCAATTCCAGTATTTTCCAAACGCCAACATAGTTTATTAGCAACAAACAAAATAATCCAAAATCAGGACCTTGTCCGGGAAGTCCAAAATCATCCATTTTGAATGTCAAAGGAGTAATAATGCTATCATTTTTCAAGGACATCTCCTCCTGTCACCTGCTCAGCTGTCAAAGTTTCAGTCCTGCTCACCTGAGTATGCCCATTTTCAGGTTAAATCTGAAAATGAAAAGGTGCTCATTTCACTTACTTGCAGACCAATTAATAAATTACAAAATAATACCTGACTGTCAATAAAGAGTAGTCGGTCTACTTGATAAAGGGGGTTGGCTGTGTGGGATCATATCAGTGGGTGTGAAGGACATTTACTGGAAGAGCTAATGATTTAGGTGTGACAAATTATTTCTGTTTTTGTATCTAATTGTAAGAGCTACTTCTAGGCAAGATCCTTCTGGAGGTGTGAAGGTGGAATTATACCTTTGTCTAGTGTTTCTTTATGAGTGGCTAATTCAATTTTAGTATTCACGTCCACTCATGTAAAGTTAAGAACAGACGGATTCTTTTTTTTTTTTTTAAATCAACAAATTCTTGGTAACTGAAGCTTGAAAATATTAGATGGCCTAAATACTGAACATCTGTTGATGTAAATAACTGTTTCTACTGAAATGTGTTTGATGTTTCCTTGTCAGAGAAATCACTTGTGAAATTGCACACTGTGAACTAGTAATATGTTTAATCTAAGAATGCCTTTCCAGGGAGGGAAAAAAAAAAAACAAAACAGAGCCAGTTAAAATAATTTGGCCCCTTCACAATTAATTAACAGATCAAATGACTTTGTTTACATAGCATATTTTCAAGTTAGAATTCTTGAAATTTTACAGATTAGAAGTCCCAAAGGTTTTTGACATTATCCTTAATGAATATTCTGCATATAAATGTTTTCTATTATTTATAGAGAGAAGGAAAAAATGCTTTCAAATGTAAACATCCGACTATTTGACTGTAAGGCATTAAACCGTACAATTTTATGAAACTGAAATTGGACTGTATATTATGCTTATTCCATGGTAAAATTAAAAATGTTATTTCTGCATTTTTTTCCAGAAGTTTACATGCAACTCCAGCTCATATTAAAGAAAGTTATCCATAAAAAAGATGCAGTCCATTGATAAGAAGTGAGGGTTTGGTAGTGTTTTAAATTAACATCCAAAGTGAATTCTGTTCTCTTTAGAGTATGAATGGAAAAGAGATTCTTGGTCAAATCAGGTTTCTAAAATGCAGGCTATGACTGATAGTAAATCTAGAGAAAATTGTTAATTGTTGCTTAATGTTTCATTGAACGATGATTCAAACTCAGGCAGTGATTCTAAAGCACAGATCCTTTCCATTATATTTGCCAGCAGGCAGGTGACTTTCAGAATTGGGATTATAAGAATAAATCAGCTTTGAAGTTGTTTTAGAAGAAGGTACTTTATAAGTGAGAGGCACCGGCAATTTCTTTTGAATATCCTTTCTAATACAATTTTTATTTAATTCACTTAGATGATGTTGGAGCAATTCCAATAAAGCACTTTCCAAAGCATGTTGCTGACTTACATGCAAGTAGTGGGTTTACTGAAGAATTTGAGGTATGATTTCAGTATGTCTACTTTAAATAATATAGGAAATAATAAATTTAAAAGAATCAACAGTAGGCAATTTCTTGACCTGAAGGCATTGAAACCACTTACATTTCTAGAGAAAACATTAGTTCTATAATCACTCATGTGTTTAGGAGATATGTTGCTGTTATCATATAATTTAGAAAATAGTTTTTTTATTGTACAAAGCCAAGTTGTACTGGTGAAAAAGTAAAAAATCATTGTTAATTCTCTCACATAAAATACAGATCTACAGTATTCATTTTTTATCTGATTTAATAGCACTGATTCTTGGTCATTTTCTAAATCATATAAATTATACTAAACTACTAAATTTAATGATTATCAGCCAAAGTATATACAAACTCTTAATTGTAAGTATTATACCAATATAAATACAAAAGCGTTTAAATAATCTTTTTATTATACCAGGTAAAATCACATCTTCTCAAGAAAATATGCATTTCCAAAAAACATTTGAACTTTACAAGCAGTGAAAATTTTCCAGAAATATCCAGTTAAAATATTCTTAGATATCAAGGGCAGAGATATTTGCTGCAGATTGCTGAACTAGTAATCAATTAAACAGATTTTTTAAAATAGGGAGTCATAAGCCCAGAGTTAACAATAAAAAAAAAAAAAAAAAAGTTGCCATGGAGTCGATTCTGACTCACAGCGACCTATAGGACAGAGTAGAACAGCCTCACAAGGTTTCTGAGGCTGTAATCTTTACAGAAGCAGAATGCCACATCTTTCTCCTACAGAGTGACTGGTGGGTTCAAACCACAGACCTTTTCGTTAGCAGATGAGCACTAAACCAGTGCACCACCAAAAAAAAAAAAAGCAAACCAAACCAAGCCCATTGCTCTCAAATTGATTCCATCCCTATAAGACAGAGTAGAACTGCCCCATAGGGTTTCCAGGAAGCAGCTAGTGGATTTGAACTGCTCACCTTTTGGTTAGCAGCTGATCTCTTAACCACTGCGCCACCAGGACTCCTCAAATCAAACTTACAAACCAAAAATACCAAACTTGTTGCGGTCGAGTCAATTTCAACTCATAGTGACCCTATAGGACGGAGTGGAACTGCCCCATAGGGTTTCCAAGGAGTGGCTGGTGGATTCGAATGCCGACCTTTTGGTTAGCAGCCTAGCTCTTAACCACTATGCCACCAGGCTCCCAAATCAAATTTAAGGGATGTTAATTAACAGCTGATAAATAGCAGCAGAGCTGGGATTCAAACCCAGGTCTGTGATTCTAAAGCTCACGCCCTTTCCGTTATCCTGCCAGCAAGCATGCCAGCTTTGGCCTCCCATCTGGCTGCACCCCTCTAGGAAGCATAACTTTGCCTTTTTGCCTCCCCCACCCCACCTCTTTGAGCACATTGGGCACTGAGCCTGATCGGAGGGTAGTCTGCCCTCCCCACTGTACAGCCAACTGCCTCCCAGGGGTGCTATCCATCAGCCACTGTGGTGTGGGTTTGGTTTCAGGATATGCTCAGAAAAGGAAAATGCCTTTTTAGACTGTTTTAAGAAATCAGAAGAAGTAGAAATGAAATGTGCTGGGTTTTTTTTTTCCACTAAATTTGTAATAATCAAAGCCAATCCATTTAGTCCTAAAAGAAGTCTAAATCATAGTTACATTGAGTAAGAAAGTAGTGTGACGTAACCCTAAAGTAAAGTGGAATAGTATGAAGAATACCATGTTTAAAATATCAAATCATTTTTCCTACCATAAGCCAGCTGTTCCTGGTGATGCCATGTTAACTCATAGGAACAATGAGGCTAACACCAAATAAAATCATAACTGAAATAGTGAGTGTATCTAATCTTCCAGTATTCAAACCCGTAAGTAAAAATAGATGATTTATAAATAAAAGTTACTGACAGCATATGCCCAAACATAGAGTCGTGGTTTTCACAACTCTAGAATAACTGAATATTATTAAGCAGTTCATAATAATTAATCAAATAACCTCACAGTTTTACTCAGAAAGTTTTTTTATTCATTCCATTGTTTTTAACTCATAGTCTGATTCAAGAAAACTTTTCGTTAACTTAATAATTAGCTTAATAACTAATAATTATATACCTTTTAAGTGGTTCATCTATTAAATTATTTTTAAGTCTGCAGTCAGATGACTTGTTGGAAAGTGGCCTTAAAAGCTTGTTTGGAGAGACGCGGAGCTATTTGCTGATTAATCAGATGTATATTTGGGTTATATACTTTATCAGAAATGATTTATAAGGATTTCATGATATTATCATAACATGAAATAATTATAAATTCCAGACTAGTATATTTAGATAGAAAACATCTCTAAAAGGGACTTTAATTCATTATAAAAGAACTGGCAGAGATAATTTTTTTTGTACCTACCCAATGAAGCATAAACCAAAAGAAAGTCTACTAATTAAATACATAGAAAGCAATATGTAAAATTTGTTTCAAAATGACTTGGTAGAATAAAAAATTTTAGGAGTTTTTTCAATATTTTGACAGCTCTGCACCTGCTGTTACAAACCACCTAATAGGAAGCTGTTTACTCTTTAAAATTACTCAAAATATGTATTATATCACTAATTCAGAATTTCAAATAGTGCTGTAGTGGTCAAATATAATTATATTTGGAAATTAGTAAATTCAGCTAATAAGCCAAAATTTATCATGAAATATGTAGTTTTTCTCATCTGCATTTTTTTAATTCATCGTATTATTACACCACCGTCCCCTTTGAAAAGTGTTTTTTTTTTCTTTTGAATAATTTTAAGGTTCCAAATTGTTAGAAACTTTGATTTGCATGCAACTGTTTGAAACATTCCATTTTGTTAGTATTTGACAAATGTTATTTATTGCATGATCATAGTTTTCCATTGTAAACCTAATATGAACGCTTTTTTTTCTCATTTGTCGTATGCTGTGGAATTTGATTTCTTTACTTTTTTGGCATTCATTCCCTCATTAGACACTGAAAGAGTTTTACCAGGTAAGGCGTTATTTCACTGCATTACCTTTTAGCAAAGAAGTAGATATAAGATTTAAAAAAAAAAACAAAAAAACTTTTTTTCAAATAGATTATTGTGTTTGTTTTGTCTTCCTTATTTTAAGGCACTGTGTTTGAAAAAATATGCATTAAAATGGTATTCCTACAATTTTTTTCCAGGAAGTGCAGAGCTGTACTGTTGACTTAGGTATTACAGCAGACAGCTCCAACCACCCAGACAACAAGCACAAGAACCGATACATTAATATCATTGCCTGTAAGTATAGCCTCAACACAGCTCTGACTCTGTCATCACTGTCACCGCTATGCCTTTAAATGGTGACCTGAAGCCATCCGACAGAGACTTCAGCACAGCTGTTGCATGCCCTTTGTATCAGGGAATAAGACCTGTGTTAGATGTACATAGTGTTGTATCACTCAAACAAAAACATTCTGCAGTTCTTGACATACGTTTCTTTTAAACAAAATAAAGTCAAATTTTAACCCAGTCCCTTCCTCCAGCCCATGGACTGTGCAGCTATTCTTGTGACTTCTGTGATTACTTATTTATATTCCATGATCTGATTTTCACTTAGGATCTACCTAATTTTACGTGCATTTTTCTAACCAAATGAAATAGGCTTTCTCGTTTTCGTTTTATCTTTACTCTTTTCCTCCCTTTCTTGCCATTCTTCCTGGGATCTTATAAACGATCACTTGACTTCTCTCCATTTCTTCTTTCCATTCTTTCTTTCCCATTGTTTTCTCAGCTGTTCTCCCTCCTTTTCTTCTCAATGAGCAGCTATCTGGCTCTTTTATTTAATGCAAGTTTCTTTCTTTTTTTCTATGAAATTACCATCTTTCTTTCAACTTCTTATAACACCTCTTGTCCTCTTGTTTACATCCGTTCCTTCTTGTTTTCTTGAAATTCATCTTCATTTTCTTCTCTTTTCCCCTTAAAACGTCTACTTATATCCTTTTCATATATCCAAAGGACCTCTCTAGCTTCAGATGAATATGGTATTATCAGCTTGGTTGTTTAGATTCTTATTCCATTCTGGTTTCTAGAAGCTGATGCAGCTGCACGCTCCTCCCTTTTATTACCCGGTTCTCTTAAACAGTTTGCATAGATGCCACCTTTGTTTCTACAGGGCTTATGCCATTTTTGTTTTTCAGTAGAAGGCTCTGCTGCATGTTTGTCTTCGTCACCTGAAAAACTGCTTTCACAGCACATAAAAACTCACTTGCTTCTTACACAGGGTGAAATTGCTGTTAGACTATTCCTTCCACAAGCTCAAATTTAAAATTTCCTACCAGCTAGTTAACAAGGGGAAGACATTTAACATTTGTTGAACACCTACTATGTGCCTGACACTTTAAATACATTTTTTTTTTATTTAATCCCTGAAACAACCTGGCAAGATAGGTAATAACAGTCCTATTTTAGAGATAAAGGAAAATGACCCAGAAAATTTACCCAATAACACTCATCTAAAAATATCAGAATACGCACCTAGGACTGCCTGGTATCCCAACCCACCTTTCCATTGCCATACATCTATTTCCCGTACACGCCTTGTACCAAAGTGGACTGCTACTGTCACAGAAGTATCAATATCCCAGAATTATCTTTGTCATGGTTTGGCCTGTATTTACTTCTTCATTCTTGAAATACACAGTTTTCTCAGTGAAACCACCAATGTTCTTTCTAGGAACACTTTTCTCCTAATGTTGCTCATTCAAATAAACATAGCTTCCCTGGAGAAGAGATGTTAATCTCTAACTCCTTATTCTAATTTATTTGAGTTACCATGAATGCATTAGTTTTCATCCTTTTTAATTGGTAGTGGAGGATCCACTTCCTCTCTTCTTGACCAACTATTCTCCTGCCTCTCTTTTCAGTAGTTCTTCCTTGAGGCTCTTCCCTTGAAAGAGCTGTTTGTTGTAACCATTCACAGAACCTTCCCAGGGACTCTTCTGCTGCCTTCTCTGTTTCCTCTTCCTCCCTCAGCTCAGAGTGCATATGCTGTATCTTCCCCTAGCTTTCAGACTCCCTCACCTCTCTTCTGCATGAGTAGCTCCACTGTTCTCAACCCCATCCTTGAAAATGCATCTAAGATACCAATTTTAGCTTTCAACCTCTATAAAAACTTTTATGATTATCTCAACCTAATACAATTTTTGCCTGCCTAGCTCCCTAATACTGTGTACCTCTCTCTTAACTCCTGTATATTACTTTCTGTGTGTATGTCGTATTCTCACTGAAGACATTAGAAAACTTCTTGACAGCAGAGACTCGTTATATTTATCTTTGGTTATCTTTGTCATCTCTGTAGCCCTAAAAAGCCTTTTACAATAAATGATTTTTACACTGATTTTAGCTGTATTTGATAAATTATAATGCAAATGAAATGAAATGAGAAGTGGTCTGCTACAATGAAGTGATTTTTTTTTAATTTCAGATGATCATAGCAGAGTTAAACTTGCACAACTTGCTGAAAAAGATGGCAAACTGACTGATTACATCAACGCCAATTATGTCGATGTAAGCATGTTTTAATTGAAAAGTTTATGGAAATTATACTAGTCTATGAATTTATTATTCCACACTGCCATACATATGCTAGTGTTTAATACATGTGATCGAATGGTTAATAAAAAGTACAAATCAGCATTATTTATGTTTAAGATATTCCATGACTAACAGGATTTTAGATTGAATGGCACTCAAACGGTTGTCTTTGGTTTATCTCCTGAGTGAGGGTTTATCTGCTCAGGTTGGGAATGTATGCTCAAGGTAAACAAAAGAAACCCTTTGCTGTTGAGTCAATTCCAACTCATAGCGACCCTACAGGACAGAGTAGAACTGCTCCCATAGGGTTTTCAAGGCTGTAATCTTTCAGGAAGCTGACTGCCACATCTTTCTCCCATGGAGCAGCTGGTGGATTCAAACTGCCAACCTTTCAGTTAGCAGCCGAGCACTTAACCACTGCACCATTAGGGCTCCTTCAAGGTAGGATATGTATATTCAGATGGATTTATAACTCCTGTGGTGAGGAGCAGGACCAGTGCCTATTTTGAATATCCTATAGTTCCTAGCACAGTGCTGCTCATGTGGCAGATGATCAATATATACTGACTGACAAATTCCCGTGGTGGTGGTGTTGTGTGCCATTGAGTAGATTCTGACTCATAGCGACTCTAAAAGGCTAACGTGATTATTAAGCCAGTTTATCAGCCTGTATAGTCTTGGGTATTCCTCAGGATGCCCTGGATTTGTGAAGTTTACCAGAGTTCTTCAGGGAGTCTAGACCACTCACCAACTTACTGGTTTTTCACCATAGTCAACTGAAGGTCAGCGGCACTCAGTTCTTTCTGTCCCTGACTTCTCAGTCTACTCGCCTTCAGGTTTATGCTGTGCGAACACTGAATTCAAAGAAGGGAGTACTGAATATCAGTATAAAGTGACTTTGTTATAGGTAACCACTTCATGCTTCCAGACTAGGCAGTATATATGCCAGAAAGAGTATGGATGCTGGAGTTATAACTGGTTTTGAGTCCAAACTCTGCCAGCGGCTAGCTGTGAGACCTTGGAAAGTCACTTAACTCTCTGAGCTTCAGTTTCTTCATCTCCAAATCTGGGATGATGCTTCCATTTTTTATATATTAAGGATTAGGGCTAATATTTGTAAAGCATCATGACCAACAATAGGTGCGCAGGGAAGTTAACTATTAATGATTAGCACTGCTCGGTACCACCAAGGAGGGTGTTTAAGGAGGCCACAACACCAGAGGCTGGCTTACTGTTGTAAATAACTGAGCCCCAAGGCCCCAAACACATTTCAAAGCAGCACAATTAAGGACCAGATACTAAGCATAGCAAACAGACGTGGACTAAATGCATTTGGATTAAAAGTGCAGAGAATTTCAGTTGTGTGTCAAAGCAAAGAGAACTCTCTCTTTTTTTTTTTTTTTACAACATTCATAGTTATATAAGAGTGAACACTTATCTTTGCTGGAGCTATTAAGTTTCTTTAGCTTTGCAAGTTTATTTTTTATGGTTTTCTTTTATTGAAAAAGTATGCTGACCTTAAAAGCTTAAGTATTGTACAATTAAAATAGCATATAAATCAGATAATAAGAAGTATTTGACATCTGTTATTTCAGGGGTACAACCGACCAAAAGCTTACATTGCTGCCCAAGGCCCACTGAAATCCACAGCTGAAGATTTCTGGAGAATGGTATGGGAGCATAATGTGGAAGTTATCGTCATGATCACGAACCTCGTGGAGAAAGGAAGGGTATGTAGGTAATCTATAATGTCATTCCCCCAATAGCAATTAGAGGTGCTTTAAATTGCTATTTACAGAGTTTGTGTCTTAGTCATCTAGTGCTGCTCCAATAGAAATACCACAAGTGGATGGTTTTAACAAGAGAAATTTATTCTCTCAACAGTCCAGTAGGCTACAAGTCCAAATTCAGGGCATCAGCTCCAGGGGAACACTTTCTCTGTCAGTTCTGGAGGAAGGTCCATGTCATCAATTTTCCCTTGGTCTGGGAGCTTCTCTGCATAGGAACGTCAGGTCCAAAGGACGTGCTCTGCTCTCAGCACTGCTTTCTTGGTGGTATGAGGTTCCCCGATGTCTCTGCTCACTTCTCTCTTTTATATCTCAAAAGATATTGCATTAAGACACTATCTAATCTTGTCAACCTCATCAGTATAACCTCATCACAGTGATAGAATTTACAACACATAAGGAGATCACATATAACCTCATCATAGTGATAGAGTTTACAACACATAAGGAAATCATATCAGATTACACAATCATACACTGGGAATCATGACCCAGCCAAGCTGACGGATATTTTTGGGGGACACAGCTCAATCCATGACAGCTGGTGTTGGAAGCAGCAGAAGTTATGAAAGCTAATAGGTATTACTTTCTTGTAAGTGTGACATCTGAAGGGAAATTGTTAACATCATGGGTCAAAAAGTTTCACTGTGAATCAAGCTGTCTTTAAAACACGTGCTTCATAATGTGAAAAAGGGAAATGAGACTCATTGAAATGCAATAGAGAGTAAAATAGATTTTAGTTCACGGGACCTGGAGCCTAGCACTGGCCCTGCCTTTAACTAGTGACTTAATGTGCCTGGCCTCAGTTTTCTCACCTGAAAGGCAGAAGTTTGGACTAGATCATCTCAAATCTCCTTCGGTCTGTGATTCTGTCACTGGTATCTTCTACAACCAATGTGTAATCACTTAGTAAGAAAAGTGAGAAAGTCCATTCCTGTCCCTGTCTCAAACCTTTATTGATTTCAGAAAGGACTTTTACATTGAGCATTTGAAATATGGAAATGGCACCTTCACTTGATCTTTTGCAGAGAAAATGTGACCAGTACTGGCCTACTGATGGTAGTGAGGAGTACGGAAACTTTCTGGTCACTCAGAAGAGTGTTCAAGTGCTTGCCTATTATACTGTGAGGAACTTTACTCTAAGAAACACAAAGATAAAAAAGGTAAGTCAAGAAATGATGGCTATCAGCCAATGATATCAGCAAATTAATTGTAATGAATCTATCACCCATTTTTTGTATGACCATGCCCAGTTAAAAATACATACAATTAAAGGCATTAAAAGTTCTTATCACAGCTGCACTTCAATACCAAAGATTTCTTCTGAGTCTCTAGATGCCAGGTTTGGCTTTGGAGCCAGATTGGCCATGGTGCCTATGGGTGCAGTGGACATGATGTGCCAACAGAAAATCCTGCCCCACGTGCTGAGTGGTAACTGCACGGGACAGACCTAACATAATCCCAACATCCAACTAAAAAGGAGTGAAGATTGAAATAACAAAAACAGAACAATGACAATGTACTCTTTGCTTCATTATGAGCTGCCAATATCAAGCTATGAATCCTGAGTTGGTGTTCTGGAATCCTCTGTGTGTGTGTGTGTGTGTGTGTGTGTGTGTGTGTGTGTGTGTGTGTGTGTGTGTGTGTGTGTGTTACCGTTACTAGCTATCTTAACTCTTCCAGGGCTCACAGAAAGGAAGGCCCAGTGGGCGGGTGGTCATGCAGTATCACTACACTCAGTGGCCTGACATGGGGGTGCCAGAGTACTCCCTGCCAGTGCTGACCTTCGTGCGGAAGGCGTCCCATGCCAAGCGCCACGCAGTGGGGCCTGTCGTTGTGCACTGCAGGTGAGTTTGAAATTTATTTCTAACCCCCTATAATGACTCATACCAACAGAACAGAAATCAATGAAACAAAGTTTTTGCCAAAATGGAAATGGTTTCATGAAGTGAGGGAGATGAAATTATATGGCCATTTTTTTAAGTATTAATCACTGGGAAAGGAGCCCTGGTGGCGCAGTCGTTTAGTGCTTGGCTGCTAACTGAAAGGTCAGCAGTTCGAACCCACCGGCCGCTCTGTGCAAAAAAGATATGGCAGTCAGCTTCCATAAATATTACAGCCTTGAAAACCCTATGGGGCAGTTCTACTCAGTCCTGTAGGGTCACTAGGAAGCAGAATTGACTCAACAGCAACAGGTTTGGTTTTTTGGTTTTTAATCACTAGGAAGTGCCAGACTCAGAATGTAATTGATCAGTATTTCATAGAACCTTATATTTTTATAATATTTATTCTATTTTATTGTTTGGAAACCCTGGTGGCATAATGGTTAAGAGTTCAGCCGCTAACCGAAAGGTTGGCAGTTTGAATCCACCAGCTGCTTGTTGGAAACCCTATGGGGCAGTTCTACTCTGTCCTGTAGGGTTGCTATGAGTTGGAATAGACTTGACAGCAATGGGTTATTTTATTATTGTATTGAATTTCAACTTATTAAGTGTGTGAGGCAGGTGGAACAATGTTTTGTCATTAAACAAGCGTTTATTACATGTAACAACTATGGCATGAAAATGCTTGAGACACAACCTTGTCCCTAGGAGTTAATAAAATACTGAAGAGTTATTAGGCCAGATTTACAGTTGAGAAATTGAAGCACATAGAGTGTGAGGAATTTGACGAAATGCTTGTAAGTTGTTTTTAAGCATTTGAGGACCAGAATCCCTTTCTCGTTTTCCTAAGTTCTACTAATATTTTATAAGGAATGTGTTACCAGTTCAGTATTGTCCAAGGACTTTAATTTACAAGATTGGGTTGATGAATAGAGATAATGATTCCAAAAGAAGGGAAAAAAATATTTTAGATTCTTCAATCTAATATATATTTTGTTAAAATAATAGTAGCAATTAACGTTTACGGAGCGTTGACTGTGTGCCAATCTTTACGACTGCAAAAATTAAATTCATTTCTGTGTGCAGTATTTTGGTCAAAGCAGCATCTGTGTTTTTTATAGAAGCAAGTGTTTTCCTTTGCTATACCGTTTATCTAACACATTCTAATTACCTACCTCAGGAGTTGTTCTCAGACAAAGTTTGAGAGACCTATCTTGAGCTTTTTTAATCTGTTAGCCTGACGATATGCTGAGGAAAATGGGAGGATGTAGAAAAAATAGCTCTGAAGGTCAGGAATTGTTTCGTAGCAAATGGAGAGGAACCAGGCTATTGTGCAGAGCAGGTGCTAATTTTCTACTCTAGCACTTCCTACTTGTCCAAGCATTTGAAAAGACTCCCTACCTATGAATTCTGTCAATAGATAATGGCCCTTTAGAAATGGCTGAAGTTTATGCTTTATTCCTTGCGATCTCACTGAAATATTTTCAGCTGAAAGCCTAATCAAATCCTTTTTCCCATTAATGAAGAAACCTTTACAAACATGTCTACTGGCAATACCGACTTAGGGACCTTTCCTTTTCAGAGCTTGGTGAAGCTGATGCTTCCATTCTTCTCAGATTAAATGTCTGTTTGCTATGCTCTGATACGTAATATTTTCATTGTATGATATATAATGAGTAATAAATATAATTAAAAGAAAATAAAAAATCCCCCACAGAAATAGATTGTTTTGCAGCTTAACCCAGAGCAAAAAAATAAAAGAAACTGTTGATTTGTTGTTTGAAGCACTCTGCTTATCTACTAAACTGTTGGTGATTTTAGATCACTAAATTATTTATGATGTGGCTCATTCGCTTTGGGAAGGAAACTATTTTAATTGGCAAGACAGTTAGTAGTGACCTGTATTCAGATTTATTTAATGCATGACATTGAAATATTTCTCTCTTTGTGTTCCCTTCAGTGCTGGAGTTGGAAGAACAGGCACGTATATTGTGCTTGACAGCATGTTGCAACAAATTCATCACGAGGGAACTGTCAACATATTTGGCTTCTTAAAACACATTCGTTCACAAAGAAATTACTTGGTGCAAACTGAGGTATGATAAAAAGGATACCTTTATTCATCTAGCTGTTGGGAATGTCACTAGAACAGTAAAGCCGGAGAGACCAGAGGTTTTATTACCAGCCTTGGTGGTGCAGTGGTTAACTGCTTGGCTGCTAACAAAAAGCCATTGGTTTGAACCCCCGAGTCAGTCTGCAGGAGAAAGATGTGGCTTCCGTAAAGTATGTGCTTCCGTAAAGATTATAGCCTTGGAAACTGTATGGGGCATTCTACTCTGTCCTATAGGGTCTCTATGAGTCAGAATTGACTTGACAGCAGTGGCGTTGGTGTTTAGGATCTGCAGGTAAGTCATAGATGGGCCAGTTAGATTTTGTCTGTTTCATGACCAAATAGGGAATATGTTTAAAATGACACAGGTCACAGAGAGGACCCCCACCCACCCACCCCCAAAAAAAGAGAGAGAATAAGTAGATCAGTCAACACCTATCCCTACTAGCAAAAGACTCAGGTTTTTCATACATGTAGTGAATGAAAGGATTCATTTACTTATTTAAAAAAGCATGACTTATGCTCAAATTATATCCCCTTATAGGCCCATATAGTTTACCCATATATGATGGAGGACAGAGTCTGCAAGTCTGTATTTTATTTTCACTTTAAATTAAGAAAATGAATTTAACTAGAAAACTATGGATGGCAGCTTGAAAGCAATCGGAAGCATATGGCGTGGTCCCTACATACCAGCTTGTCCACCCACAGATGTTTTTGTGTGCTTTCAGGCCAGAGATGAATTTCAAGCATGAAGTCTTCTTTATAATATGAATGTCTCTGTGGTTCTCATTCATCCTCATATGGAACTGTGGATAAAACTAAAAGATACTCATTCTGAATCCACAGAGGTGTTTTTAGTCAGTCAAGCAATAAATCTTTATTAAGTGTGTATTCTCTATCAAGCTTTGCTTGATCCTTAGTGAGCTTAAAACAAAACACAGCAAAACTTCATGTCATCAAGAAATTGACATTCTAGTCAGATAAGACCAGGGAAGAGTCCCAGACATGAAGCACGGGAGAACTGTTAAAGACTGTATCTATTCCTGTTACCATGAAGTCAATTCTGATTTATGGCAACCCCAGGTGTTACAGAGTAGAACTTCTCCATAGGGTTTTCTTGGCTTTAATCTTTATGGAAGCAAATTGCCAGGCCTTTCTTCTGTGGTGCTGCCTGGTGGGTTCAAACCACAAACCTTTTGGTTAGTAACCAAAACAAAAACCCAAACCCCTTGCTATCAAGTTGATTCCGACTCATAGCAACCCTACAGGACAGAGTAGGACTGCTCCATAGGGTTTCCAAGGAGTGGCTGGTGGATCTGAACTACCAACCTTTTGGTTAGCAGCCGAGCTCTTAACCACTGTGCCATCAGGGCTCCTTTAGGTTAGTAGTTGAGTGCAAACTTGTTGCACCACCAAGACCTTCACTGTATCTATAATTCAGCTAAATTATAAATGACAGGCTAAGAGGAGAGTTGGAGTCAGAAAAAGGGGCAGACCCACGAGAAGTATACAAGTCAGGAAGATCCTCGTGTAGATCGTGGAACTGGGCCCTGGGTTTGAAGGGCAGAGAGGGCATTGTGTTGCTTCCTACCTCCTATCCGCAAATACCAGTACACAACAAATAAAGAATTAAGGGATGAGAAGGGGTTGTGTTCTCCCTTGACTGCCTCCTTTCCTCTGTCTGACTTCCTAGCAGGTCCAGTAAACTATTCTCTGAGTTTTTCCCTCTTTTTGTAAAATCTTTGTTGTCTGACAATGGAAGGTATGACTTGTGTACCTAGATATGTATGAGGAAAACTTAAGGTAATGTTCCTTCTTGTCCTTGTTTTGCCAGGAACAATATGTCTTCATTCATGATGCACTGGTTGAGGCCGTACTTAGTAAAGAAACTGAGGTTCCAGATAGCCATATCCATGCCTATGTCAATGCTCTCCTCATTCCTGGACCAACAGGCAAAACAAAGCTAGAGAAGCAATTCAAGGTGAGTTCTCTTGGAGGCCTCTTGGATGTCAACGCAGAATTGAATGTTCTGGTATCTTCTCGTTTGAGCCTACAAGGCCATGTGCATGGGTTGAGAGAATTGTTGGAGCAAAAGCTTTGTATTTGAATCATCCTTGTTCTTTATAATAAGTAACAAAGTCACACAGTAGATTTAAAGGAGGACCTTAATTTTGAGTAGCAAGATGTAAAAGTTTTCAGAAACCCTAGACCAACTTTTTTCAATGCAAACTTGGTTCAGGAAAGGAGGGCACACAGCCTCACAGAATGAACAGGCAGGGCTTATAATACAGACTAGATAAGTACTCTTTTTACTTTGAGAAAACACCAGACCACTTACCATAAGTGCTGTGGCTCAGACTGTTTGTGCTCTGCTTCTCTTTGGAAAATTCTGTGTCTCACTTGAAACTCCTGAACTAGAGTAGGCCAGCGTAGGTCAGAACAATAGCTTCTTCAGCCCCGGTTTCTCCCACTCACACTGTCACGAGGCAAAGAACTAGAGAGGAGAGTGCATTTCGTTCAGTCTTGTACCTCCTGCATCCCTGGCTCTCTGACTTGCAGAAATCAGTAAGCAAAGAATCCAGGTGTTACTGGACCTCAAACTGGGATTAGGGCATTTACAGAGTTGTGGCTTTCCACAGGAGTGGGGCTTATGTTACTTGCTCCGCACGATTCCTTTCTGGCCTCTCACTTTCTTAGGATCCCTGATAAAAACAGGGCCAGTTTCTGAAAAGGATAAATATCTAGGAAAAATCTGGAAGACCCTGGAAAAACCTGGAGATTGTACCTTTTTCTGCTACGATGTTAGCCACTATGAATTCCCTCTGACCTTCTTCCTCCTCCTCAGTCACATCTTTTGTGCTTTTAGAAGAGAAAGAGAAAGATTATGTGTGGTGAATGCTGAACTCAAAAACCTGCAGTCTGGATGATAAATTGTGTGCTCAGCCAACATTATCTGAGTTATAAGATAGGGATGCTTTAGGGAAAGAAAAAAATGTGCAGTTCAAGTTCCAGAAACAAATAAAGAAATGTAAAAACATAATAATATTAAGTTGCTAGGATAACATATCCCTAAATAAAAAAAAAGAAGAAAATATTACCCACATCAACAGAATTCCTATTTAAATATGATTTTAAAAACCCGTTGCCATTGAGTCAATTCTGACTCATAGCGACCCTATAGGACAGAGTAGAACTGCCCCACAGGGTTTCCAAGGAGCAGCTGGTGGATTCGAACTACTGACCTTTTGGTTAGCAGCCGAGCTCTTAACCATTATACCACCAGGGCTCCAAATATAATTTACTCTGTATACTCCCTATACTCCCTATATAATTGCATAAAATAGATATGTTTTAAAATAGATATCATAGGATCAAAATGGAAGTATCAATTACAGTGAAACCTGTGAGAAGTGGAACTCAGTGGGACTTCCTTGTTTTTCTTTCACCTGTGACAGGGTGCTGTCTTAACCACTTTTCTATTGATCATTTTAGTGGAAAATATTTGAGTTTTCTTTCTCTGACAGGTCTGTCTTACACAGGTTCCAGCTTTCACAGGTTTTATGTATAAGGTCAAAATCTACTGATAAAAGAGAGATATTTGATTCTATCTCCTGTTAACTTCATAAAAAAATAAATTTAAGTATATATATATATATATCTTTTAGTGTCCTATAAAAAAAAGTATTCAATAAAGTTTATCCATAGGATATTTTCCTTAAATTAAATTGCACGCCTATTTATTCATCACATATTTATCAGGCACGTACAAAGTGCCTCTTTCAGGTGCTAAAAAGCAAAATGTCACCTTGAACACTAAAAGGTGTACCAGACTCAAGCCATGGTATTTTCAATCACCTCATATGTATGTAAAAGCTGGACGATGAATAAGGAAGATGGAAGAAGAATTGACACCATTGAATTGTGGTGTTGGTGAAGAATATTGAATATACCGTGGTTCATCGATTGAATTATGTCCCCCAAAAACTGTGTGTATCAGTTTGGCTGGGCCGTGATTCCCGTTATTGTGTGATTTTCCTATATGTTGTAAATCCTGCCTCTCTGATGTTAATGAGGGAGGATGGGGGGGAGTTGTGTTAGTGAGGCAGGACTCAATCTATAAGATTGGATTGTGTCCTGAGGCAATCTCTTGAGATATAAAAGACAGAAGTGAGCAGAGAGAAGAGGGGGACCTCATACCATCAAGAAAGCAGTGCCAGGAGCAGAGCGCGTGCTTTGGACCCAGGTCCCTGTGTGGAGAAGCTCCTAGTCTGGGGGAATACTGATGAGAAGGCCAACAGAGAGAGAAAGCCTTCCCCTGGAGCTGATGCCCTGAATGTGGACTTTTAGCCTACTTTACTATAAGGAAATAAACTTCTCTTTGTTAAAACCATCCACTTGTGGTATTTCTGCTATAGCAGCACTAGATAACTAAGACAGAATTTGGTACCGGGAGTGGGGTGCCTCCGGGCACTTATTGGTGGAGCTACCGAGCTTTGAACACTTGCCCCAGCAGGGCAGATGTGGGTGTGAGGCCCGAGGAGCCCAGAGGCTAAGAAACCAGGAAACAAGCAGAAGCTAAAGAGACAAGGGACACAAGAAGCCAAGCTTCCTCAGTCTCAAAAGGTATGGCCATGACCTCAGGGGTTTCAAAGGATGGAGCCATGGCCTCTGGTGCTTCTAAGGGTGGAGTCGCCACTCAGATGGACTGGGAGAATGGTGCGCCCAAAGCCAAGCAAGCAGAGTTGCTGTCCCAGTGGGCCTGGAAAGCAGAGCTGAAGCCCAGGGCCGAGGGGCCTCCACTCAGAATCTGGAGAGTGTGGCCAATACCTAGAGTCTGGAGGGCAGGGCCATTGTGTAAATTGTCTCAGAAGACAGAAGATTGTTTTCAAAGCCTTGAGGGCTAATGTGTTCTGCTGACTTGCTTGGTGCCTGTTATCCCTTCTTTTCCTCCAGTTTCTGCCATTTGTAATGGAATGTCTAGCTTGTGCCTGTTCTGCCACTGTACCTTTGGAAACAGATAACTTGTATTCCAGATTTCACAGATGAAGAGGAATTTTTGGATTTTGGACTTGGAGTTAAGACTTTTGCTATGATATGATGGGGTGAATATGTTTTCTATGTTGCAAGGATGTGATTTTTTTGGGGGGCCAAAGGGTGGAATGTCATCGATTGAATTATGTCTCCCCAAAAATGTGTGTATCAGTTTGGCTGGGCCATGATTCCTGGTATTGTGTGATTTTCCTTTATGTTGGAAACCCTGTCTCTATGATGTTAATGAGGGAGGATGGGTGGCAGCTGTGTTAGTAAGGCAGGACTCAATGTACAAGATTGGATTGTGTCCTGAGGCAATCTTTTGAAATATGAAAGAGAGAAGTGAGCAGAGAGAAGAGGGGGACCTCATACCACCAAGAAAGCAGTGCTAGGAGCAGAGCGTGTCCTTTGGACCCAGGGTTCCTGTGCAGGGAAACTCCTAGTCTGGGGGAACATTGATGAGAAGGCCAACAGAGAGAGAAAGCCTTCCCCTGGAGCTGACCCCCCTGAATTTGGACTTTAAGCCTACTTACTGAGAAGAAATAAACTTCTCTCTGTTAAAGCCATCCATTTGTGGTGCTTCTGTTGTAGCAGCACTAGGTGACTAAAACACATGGGCTGCCAAAAGAACGAACAAATCTGTTTTGGAATAAGTACATACAGAATGCTCCTTAGAAGCGAGAATGGTGAGACTTCATCTCACATACGTTGAACATGTTATCAGGAGGGATAAGTCCCTGGAAAAGGACATCATGCTTGGTAAAGTAGAGGGTCAGCAAAAAAGAGAAAGATCCTCAAGGAGATGGATTGACACAGTCACTACAACAGTGGGCTCAAGCATAACAACAGTTGTGAGAATGGCGTAGGACTAGGCAGTGTTTCGTTCTGTTGTACATAGGACCACTATGAGTCGGAACCGACTCAACGGCACTTGACACAAGGTACCAGGCTTTGTAATAGGAACATTAAAAAAAAAAAAAGGCACACTGGGCCCCTCCTCTCATGGTGCTTGCTGTCTAGTGGGGGATACAGGTAAGAAAACAGGCAGATACAAAACAGTATGAAAAGTGCCATTCTAGGGATAGAACCAGGTGCTGTAGGAGTACAGGTAAACATGCAACTCATCAGGGAAGAATTGGACAGGATGTATTTAAGAGTCAAACACAGGCCTTGGTGATTTATTGAACACTGCAGTGAGGAGAGAAAAGAGACAAGCATAACAACTCCATTTCTAATTTGGACATCTGGGAGGGTGATGATATCATTCACTGAGACTGAGAATTCAGGAAGAGAAGGCGCATGCTTGCAGGGTGTGGTAGGGAGAAGATGGTGAGACTACCTTTGAACATATCTAATTCTGAGGTACTTGGGTGGTGTCCCAGGAGAGGTGTATATAGTCAGCAGTTGGACACATGAATCTGAAGTTCAAGAGAAAGGTCTCACCTGGAGAAGTAGACCTGGGAATCATCAGTTTAGAGAAGATTACTTGAAGGCATGGAATTGGGTAAATGGCCAGAAAAGGAGATGTTTAAATTACGAAGGCTCAGGAAAGATTCTTTATGAAAGATTATAATTGACCAACGAATGATCAGCCCACAAAAGAAAGGTAAAAAGAAGGCATCAGAGTATAGGAGAATATTTGAGACAGTGAGAAATTATAAATACAAAGGAAAATAATGTTTCAAGAAGGAGGAAAGGGACAGAGATGGTAAATGCTAATGACAAATATTAAATATAATGAGGACCGAGGAGACCTTTGTCTTTAGGCCTAAGGTCATCGATGGCCTTTGTAAGAGCAATTTCAGGAAAGTGCAGTATTGAAGCCAGAACCCAGGCTGAGTTAAGAAGAGAATGGATGTTAGAAATTAAAGACAACAATTAGGTAACTCTTTTAAAATTTTTGATCATGAAGAGAATAATAAAGATGGTTGGGCGGAAACTTAGAGTTGAAGGAAAAGAGATTTTTTGGTTTGTTTATTTTAGGTTTCTTTGCTTATGTTTTAATGAGAGACATATAATTTTGTTTCAAAACTAATGGGAAGAGATCGTAGTGGGGGACAAAGATGGATAACTGGAAGGAGCAGAGCTCCTGAGAAGATACAAAGAAGTAGGATTAAGGAACACAGGTAGAGGAATTTGTGTTCGAAAAGAGAAAAAACTAAGAGAGTGTGGATAGCAGTAGATGTCTGGGCTCTGGAGCTGGATGTGGAGGGAGCACTCTGTGGCAGAAGTGAATATGTGCACATGAGCATATGTGTGTGTGTTGTGTGTGTATGTACACATTCTAAAATAAAGTTTTAAATAGCTGTTAGGAAGAAAGAAGTCATTTTAAGAAATCTATACCATACTAACCATATTCTTGGTCCCTAAAACTAGAAATTGATGATGAAAAGTTGCTCTCATAAAAATCCAGATTATGTCTTTCTTCCTTATGTTTCATTTCTATTCTGTGGTTTACATAATGCTGAATTACCCAGTAGTTAGACTAAGCACAAGTTTAGGGTACCAACAAAGCAGGAACACCTGTAAATTAGAAAAATGTTTTGGAACATGTCCAATAAAACATCAAAATAATTACCATGGGGAAAAAAATCAAGATTTTTCTTAGCTTTTATTACACTTATTTAATGTTCTAGAATTTGTTCATTTTGCATTGCATATGATCAAGATATCTAAACAGTTCCATCTGGCCCTGATTTTATATCCCTAATAATGTGCAGTTTACCTCCAAACTGCAGTGTGAGGTTTAAGTGGAGGAAATGGAGTGTGTATATCTGTCGAGGAAGCCATGAGGAAGAACCTCTCAAGCCTGAAAGTCGAACAAGAGAGTTCTCTGCTTCTCCCAGCTCCTCTTGTGTAGAACACAGAGACACCACGTAGTTCACTAAAATGGGTTTAGATCAAGGAATCTTGGAAAAGAAGTCAAATATGTTTTTATTCAGTATCTTGGTGGGTCATGTGTGTGTTTGCATGTATATGAATGTGTGGGTATGTGTGTGTGTGTTTACATGTTTGAGTGACTTAAATGAAATAGCTTGTATTGTTTTCTTGACTCGTTTTCTCAGCTCCTGAGCCAGTCAAACATACAGCAGAGTGACTATTCCACAGCACTAAAGCAATGCAACAGGGAGAAGAACAGAACGTCTTCCATCATCCCCGGTAGGTTATATTAAATCTTGACTAAAACTTCCTTTTTATAATAAAAGTCTCGTAGGCAATTTAACAATATTTTTTTATCTTGGGACAAATGCAGTATACTGAGACTTTTCTAGTTATGTCTTGATAACGCATAGTGTCATTGTTAACAAGGACTCATAAACCCTTGAACTCTCTTTTAAAAATGAATAGAAAATTAGCTTAAAGATTAAGGGCACTCAGCTTGAGAAATGCAGCTGTATTTTGCAATTTGGGGATCGGGGGACCAATGCTATAACATGGTTATTTACAATGAATGTTCTGTGTTTAGTGGAAAGATCGAGGGTTGGCATCTCATCCCTGAGCGGGGAAGGCACAGACTACATCAATGCCTCCTATATCATGGTAAGTCACAGAAGTTACTGGGGAGACTGCCTGCTAGCCAGTGTTACCAGAACCACAAGCAGAGTGGGCTGCCTCAGCAGTGACTGTGGGCCTGGGCAGCACCAGTCAAAGTGGACAACTGTAGGCCCGTAGCCCACAGCAACAATAAAATTATAGCATTCCTTGATGTTTTTATGTGTTCTGGGACTGCAGAAAGCTCAAGTAAGACAAATGTGTAGGTGCAGGAATCCAAACTCACCATTCAGGACTGATGAGTAGCTACAAAACACTCACTCATCCAAGAGGCTACGCTCTCATCTGCCAAGGCCAAGCCCCTGGGCAGGGGCTACTCAGCACCTTCAGCAAGCCCAGTCTCACCAACATTACCACTCCGGTTTGCAACTAAGTTCTACCCCTGCAAACTGGGCTCAAATGAAGACCTGGAGTTCTAAAAATACAATACATCCCTTCTGCCATTTAGATCTTTCATGCAAGGGGTGAGTACTGTAATAGCTGGTATGTAACCTTCATCACTATTTCAGATCAACCCAGCACAGAACTTGATTTCAGATGAAATGGTCCTAATTCCCATGGCAAAAGCACTGTTCCATTTATGCAAAAAAAAAAAAAAGGCTAATAAATATCCATATAAGAAACAGGGAGGTGTGTGGTGGTGGCATACAAAATATGTCCCACCCTTCAAATGAGCCCAGAGGAGATAGAAAGGGGTCTGAAAGACCTCACAGTGGAAGGGGCTAGAAAGTCGTGTTTTCAGTAAGTAGCAACATGCAAATCAGGATTAATCTGATGGTACTAGCTTCCAGGTTTCTGCAGCAAAATATTCAAGGGCCTACCTGGTTCCTCCCCTGGAGAGCAGCCAGGGTGTCTGGACGCTGGAACCTGTTAGGAGGTCTGAAATTCAGCACTTTGCCATTGGGACCGAGTGACCTAAGGAGATGTGGAAAGCGAGAAATATAAACTCTCACGTAGATTTCCACTTTATCGAGTGTAGGAGACACTTTCCGCCAGCCATTTTAAATCTGCCCCTACAGGTAACAGCTGTGTAAGCCTGGGTACAACACTTGACTTCTTGAGCCTCAGTTTAATCATCTGTAAAACGGGAATCACAGTTCCAATCTCATAGCACTGTTGTGAGGAATAAAAGACGTACGGGGAAGAAAACAGCACTGTACCTGGCATAAAGGAAGTGCCCAGTAAACATTTCACATTATTATTTATAGATACATCTGAAACTAAAAAGACTACTTTGATTTAAGGTCCATTAATTGTAAGTGTTTTTCTGAATGCTTAAAGTAATAGCCAGAGCTGAAAAGCTTTTGATCTTCTCTTTGGATTTGTAGGGTTATTATCAGAGCAATGAGTTCATCATCACCCAGCATCCTCTGCTCCATACCATCAAAGATTTCTGGAGGATGATCTGGGACCATAACGCCCAGCTGGTGGTTATGCTTCCTGATGGTCAAAACATGGTAAGGCCTTTGGGTTACTTTTTGTACTTACCTGTCAATGGAACTGTCAGGTTGCAGCAGAAACTAGAGCCAGAAGTCTAGAATACAAACAAGCAAAGTCATTTTTTTTTTTTTCAACCTAGAAACTGATGTATTTGGAGACACACCTGGTCTACTGTTGGGCTTAGGTTAGTTACCCAATCTCCCAGGTCTAAAATTGTTGAATGACATTTTTAAATGAAAGTAGATTAAAATTAGCTTAAATTGAAGTATTTTGTGACAGTACTAAGAAAATAAGAATTGAAACCATGAATGAAGTCAGTTCATATGCTTCTATTTATGTATATTTTTTATAATACTTAGGGATATTTGAAGATCACCTCAGTTTAAGGAGGTCCCTAGAAACACAAAAAAGACCCATTTGAAATAAAATGAACTCCTAGTATGGGAAGGGCTATTTTAGTATCAGAAAATCAGTGATACCCCATTCTTCTTTTTCTGTTTGTTTGGAGAACCCCAAAAGTAAAACAGAGTTAATTATTTCATTTAGGCTTTGTATATAAATTTAACCCTGAGATTCATTTCTTATCTATAAAGTTATACTGACTGTTCAAAGTAAGTCTAGCAATTGCTGAGCTCTTAGAATCTCTTCAGTTTTCTGTACTCACTTGTCAATTTTAGAAGCAACAAACTTACCATTGTTACTGATAAGCTAAGAAAGCAAAAAACAAAGCTGTAATCAAGGTTCTTAAGTGTGGTATTTTATTCTGCACGTCATTCTAGTTTAAGACACCAGCAAGATTTTAAGACTAAATTTTGGAATTTGAAGAAAATTTTGAGTTGAATTTTCTATGGCAACCAATTAACTTTATTTCACAATCTGACCTATTAGACAAAGGAGCCCTGGTGGCGCAGTGGTTAAAGTGCTTGGCTGCTAACCAGAAGGTCGGTGGTTAGAACCTACCAGCTGCTACATGGGAGAAAGGTGTGGCAGTCTGCTTCTGTAAAGATTTATAGCCTTGGAAACCCAATGGAGCAGTTCTACTCTGTCCTGTGGGGTCACTATGAGTCGGAATTGACTCGATGGCAGTGGGTTTGATTTTGGTTTTTTGGACCATTAGACATTTTATTAAAATCTGGAATCTTTGGTTTTTAATCCTCCAGGCAGAAGATGAATTTGTTTATTGGCCAAATAAAGATGAGCCTATAAATTGTGAGAGCTTTAAGGTCACTCTGATGGCTGAAGAACATAAATGTCTCTCCAATGAGGAAAAACTTATAATTCAAGATTTTATCTTGGAAGCTACACAGGTATGGACATTATTTAAATGGTAAACTTTTCATCTTAAGCACATGTTAATATATGCTGATTTAAGTATTTTTCCTAGAAATAAAAAGAAGGAATCTGATTTCTTACAAATTAAGATAGATTACCCAAGTCATCAATATCATCTTACTTGTCACTGTCACTTCCAAAACCTTATAGAATCATTAAACCATTAGTCACCACTGAAGTGCACTGTTTGATTTCTACACACACAGGAAAGAAAAAAAATTTCTCTTGTACTGTACTGCAAAACAGTTACTGATAGAACTTAGGTTGAAAATAAACACAAAAATATTTTCATTAATCCTAATACTCATGTGTAAGAAAGCCCTTCTCCTAAGTAAAATGGGGAAAATATTACTTACCCAAACTAACTTACTATCTTTGCCAGTGTACAATGAATTGATAAGAAGTGCTTTGAAAATATACAATATAATGAACTAGGATTGTTTTACTAACCTCTTAGTTATCTACGAAGACTAATCTGAATTCTTTGTCAGTAATTACTTACACAAAGCTACATTAAAATACAAAAAGATGCTAGTGGTAATGGCTAACACATGTGAGACTTCAGAGTCCCTTCTCTGTCAGAAACAGATTAAATCATATTATAGATGGTTTAGATGTTTCACTCTACCCGACTCTAATTCTGAACTAGTAAACTCTATAGGGATTAGCTGTTCTATAAAATATTGAAATGACCAAACTATAAAAACTCGATAATGCAAAGAGATTAATAATGTAAACAATATAGTAATAGAATAGTTTCCTACTTGATTAAAACAAACAAAAATTGAACATGTTGATCCCACTCCTACAGATGAGCTATATGGCCTTGGAAGAGAGACTTGTAATTTCCCTGTTTGTAACATGAGGGACAGGAACTGGAAGGCTTTAAGGTCCCTGTGAGCCCTTAATGTTCCATGCTTAATTCCATCTGTGATTGTTCCCTAAACACTTGAGAAACACGCACTCTAGAGCTCCACCCTCCTGAGCAGTGTCTTCCGCGCTGTGCCATGCACGCTTATCCTTCCCAGAGTTGAACCTGAGTGTTGCTGGTATTTGAAAAGGTCTATGCTGTTTTAGAAACAAATTGTAACACTGGAGGTTTCTTTCTGTAACTTTAAATTTAGCATCAGAGATACATCTTTGGTACATAATCTCATGGTTTTCTAGCTCAGGCATGATACTCCCACAAAGGTTTATTTTTAGAATTGAAAAAGAGATTACCCTGAGCTTTTGTTAGGGGTGATGGAAAAATTCAGGAATAGTGAGAGTTGAACAATGTGATTGATATATTTAATGTCACTGAATGCTACATGTGAAGATTGCTGAAAAATAGCAAATGTTTTGTCACCTATATCTTTGCCACAATTAAAAAGAAGGATTACATTTTCTTATCCTACTGAATAAATCTATACATGACAAAGGTGGCATCACAGTTATTTCTTCCTTCCATGAAGGGGGGTGTGCTTCGATTACAGCTGCTCACTCATACATGCCATCTGGTTTTATTACCTTACAGTCATTCCTCATTTTTTTCCCAGTTATTACACTCATGATGGATCCTCACTGACCAATATTACTTTTAAAAATATTACTTTTTTCTTTCTTCTTATAGGATGATTATGTACTTGAAGTGAGGCATTTTCAGTGTCCCAAATGGCCAAATCCTGATAGTCCCATTAGTAAAACTTTTGAACTCATAAGTATTATCAAGGAAGAAGCCGCCAACAGGGACGGGCCCATGATTGTTCACGACGAGTAAGTTCCATACTAAGTCCTTTCACACCTGAGCATTCTCTGGGTGTATGAATGTTTCTCTGGTTTTTGTACCAACCTAATGGCTTTGAGTCAGTTGTGGTGATTCTTTCTGAGTGAATTATCTGCTGCTATGAGCAAGGTTAACCCAGAATTTTCTTTTTCACTTCACTTGGAGCACCTGTTGAAGGCAGGAGATGAGTGCGTAATCACAAGAATCTGCCCTTGCATTTTATATTGAGGACACTGTTTGATGAGTTGGTGTTTTAGCGCTTGATTTTTTATAGGTGCTAACCAGAGAGAAGGTGCTCTGGTAGCACAGTGGTTAAGCACTTGGATGCTAACTGAAAGGTCAGTGGTTCAAATCCACCAGCTGCTCCATGGGAGAAAGATGTGGCTGTCTGCTTCCATAAAGATTTACAGCCTTGGAAACCCTATGGGGCAGTTCTACTCTGTCCTGTAGGGTCACCATGAATCAGAATCGACTCGATGGCAATGGGTTTGGTTTTGTAACCAGAGAGAGGTCCCTGGGTGGAGCAAACAGTTTGGGCTGAACTACTAACCTAAAGGATGACAGTTTGAACCCACCCAGCAATACCGTGGAAGAAAGGCTTGGCAATCTGCTCCCATAAAGTTTACATTCAAGAAAACCCTATGGAGCAGTTCTACTCTGTAACATAAGGGGTCACCATGAGTCAGAATCAACTTAATGGAAATGGGTTTTATGGGTTTTTAACCAGAGGGACAGTTCTCAACCATTGACTTCCTGGGATAGGAGTACAATTGATACAGTTTATAATTTATCAGAAATAGGAAAATTTATCCAGTAGATCTTTCCTGCCTTGTGTTACAGACAAATAAAAATGCCTATGCTGAAATTGGAGCCCTGGCAGTGCAGTGATTAAGAGCTCAGCTGCTAACCAAAAGGTCAGCAGTTAGAATCTACCAGCTGCTCCTTGGAAACCGTATGGGGTTGTTCTGTCCAGTAGGGTCGCTGTGAGTTGGAATCGACTCAATGGCAACAGATTTGGTTATTTTTTTAATACTGAAATTATATATTATATACACATTATATATAAGACATATATAACTTCAGTCAGATCATTTTTATTTATATGCTTCCATAGTATAAAAATAACAAATACATAACCAAATATTAAACTTCTCTAAGGTATCCCATTATTAATATGGCCGTGTTTCAAGTGAAACCATAGTTCTTTGAACAGTGAGAGACAATACTTTAAAATGTTCAGTGTTTTTTACTGCAAAGTTGTCAAAGTTATATGCTCTGTGAGTTCGAAATGTGAGCATTTATTTGACGCATCTGAGTGGAGTGTTTGTCCCTTCCCCTTGCTACAAGGCATGGAGGAGTGACGGCAGGAACTTTCTCTGCTCTGACAACCCTTATGCACCAACTGGAAAAAGAAAATTCCGTGGATGTTTACCAGGTAGCCAAGATGATCAATTTGATGAGGCCAGGAGTCTTTGCTGACATTGTAAGTAATAAAGCACTTTTCATTGTTGGAACTACATACTTTTTAGAGACTGCTTTTTTATCTTGTATCAAGAAAGATAACATTGGGTGAAAACATTCGCATATAGTTTTCAAGCTGAATTACAAGTTATTCGGTTCACAGTCCATAGAACCAGAACAACAAATATAAAATTTAATACTAAAAAATATCTTCAGTAGAAGCACCAACTGATCTGACTTTCCCAGTAAAATAAATAGTCATTTTCCCAGGGCTCACATTCTTCCCAGCCTCACAGAATAATCAGAAGGCAGACCTCAGAGACTTAAGGGTTGGAACTCTTCACTTTTTTTCTCAAGCCAAATTCAGTTTCTGAAGTGAACCATGGGCTAATTCTTGGGTACTTTAAAACACAGAGGGAAATGTACAATCAAGGAAGGGACACAGCACTTCTGGAGAGATAAGTCCCACATCTGATAGTAATTTGGAGAGTTTTATTATTGCAGAAACGGGCTGGAAGGACAATAGGGAACTTAAGTAGCACAAATGCCCCAGTGGGAGAAGCTTGGGTGGATGCAAAAACCATAGGCCCCCCTTCAGCTCCTGGTCTGTGTATGTGTACTGACCTTATAAAAATCCACCTTCTAAGCTCCAGCCTACACCTAATGGCTGGAGGTCAAGGTGACCTTGCACCCATGCCCTTCAGAGAAGCCCCCGTTAAAGTCTCATTTGGGCCAGGTGAGTTGGATCAAGCTGGTCCTGTGTGAAAGGGCTTTCTGGAGAAGAAACTTGAACTCAGGTTTCATGAATGCACGTAATGATGCACCGCTTCACACGTGTCCCTAATGATTGTTTGCTGCTGTGCCAGTAGTCACTGGCCCACCTTCTCTGAAACGGCCTGCCTCCCCCGTTGTTGTGGCATCTGTGATAGAAAACCTGCTTCCTTCTGCTGTGAGACCACAGCATGGCACGCGCTCACCTTTGCGCAGAGCATGGCATAAGACCGGTCAGGCTTGGGGAGTGTGGAGAACACCTGGTGAACTGTGGATCTGGTGCAAAGCCTGCACTCTGCATGGGTCACTGAGCTGGCATTGAAGTCCTTTCTGGGGCATGTCCATAAATCGGCAGCCCCAGAGGGATCATAACCACTGGAGAAAGAATGAGAAACTGACTTATGAGTGGCTCACAGGTTCCTAGGACCAAAGGGTTTTTACACAAAGTGATAAAATCACTGACAGAACCCCATCACATCACCTTGTGATTCCACAAAGTAAATGGATAAGAACAAAGAGTCCTTCTTGCGAGGAGCCCTGGTGGCGCAACGGTTAAGCACTCAGCTGCTAACTGAAAGGTTGGCGGTTCAAACCCACCCAGCGGCTCCACAGAAAAAAGATCTGGCGATCTGCTTCTGTAAAGATTATAGCCAAGATAACCCTATGGGGCAGTTCTACTCTGTCACGTGGGTTGCTGTAAGTCGAAGTCGACTCAATGGCACCTAACAACAGTCTTACTGCAAAGGTATAGGGAGCCACATTTTCTAGGCCAATGAGTGTTGGCTAATTGAGAAGCTGCTTGAAATTAATCAGAGACATTAATACAGAATGTAACAGAGCCCTTCACACAGCTGTCTTCAATACCCTTCTGTGAACAGTGCCGGAGTGTGACTACAAATATTCCTCTTTTTTACATCTGTATGTCTTCACTACTCTTTCCATTTATAACCTCTCATTCTCCGTTCTCTAGGAGCAGTATCAGTTTCTCTACAAAGCCATCCTCAGCCTTGTGAGCACAAGGCAGGAAGAGAATCCATCCACCTCTCTGGACAGTAATGGCACGGCGTTGCAGGATGGAAATATTGCCGAGAGCTTAGAGTCTTTAGTTTAACCCAGAAAGGGGTGGGAGGAGCCCACATCTAAGCATTGTTTCCCTCTTTTTGAATTAGACAGGAAAATCAGTCCAGTTCTTCTGTTATCTGTTTACTTCCTAGCACCTGACAGTAACTTTCATGACATAGGATTCTGCTGCCAAATTTACATCATTAACAATGTGTGCCTTTTTGCAAGACTTCTTGTAATTCACTTATTATGTTTGAACTAAAATGACTGAATTTTACAGTATTTCTAAGAATGGAATTATGGGATTTTTTTTTTTTCTGTATTGATTTAACAGAAAATTTCAATTTATAGATGTTAGGAATTCCCACCTACGGAAAACATGTTCATTTTTAGAGTCAAATTTTTAGCTGTATTTGTAGCAATCATCAGATTTGCTAGAAATATAACTTTTAATATAGTAGGCTGTAAATACAACACTGTTCTCTATGATATTCAGCATTTTACAACTACAGTATTCACCTAAAGTAGAAATAATCTGATACTTACTGTAAATACTGTTCTAGTGTCTCTATGGACCAAATTTATATTTATAATTGTAGATTTTTATATTTTACTACTGAGTAGTTTTCTAGTTCCGTGTAATTGTTTAGTTTAATACTATAGTGTAGTATCTGGTCTTACACTATTGTATCACGTTATCTAAGTGATTAACTCCATTTAAGCATGTAATTTTAACTTTTGTGGAAAATAGAAACACATTTGTTTTGAACGATGTTTTTATGAGAATAACACCTTACCCAGTATTGTTTAAATGATTTTTATCCAAGACATTGCATAAATAAATATAAATATTGCCATCAATTTGCATTTGTTTATGGCATGTTGTACTGGGGCATGTGTAGCTGCCCTGCAAATTGTAGGTGTGAGTTCCACTGGGTGATGGAAGCTGAAAAAAGGCCAATGGAATAGAAGTGTATGAAGCTGTGGTTCTCAAACTGTGCATTGAGGCATACAGGGCACCTATGGAAATTATAACCTTTTGAGGAAAACACAGCAACATCTGCTGATGCTGCACAAACTACTATTATTAAATTATTTCAACCTCTCTTAGTTTGCTAGTGTTGCTATAACACAAATACCACAAGTGGGTGGCTTTAAAGAACAGAAATTTAATTTGTCGATGTTCTGGAGTCTAAAAGTCCAAATCAGGGTCTCAGCCATGTGGATTCATTCCTTTCCTGTAGCTCCAGGTGTTCCTTTGTTCCTTGGTGTTCCTTGGCTTGTAGACAATCCTCACATAGTGGCTGTCTTCCTCTGTGTGTGTCTCTGTGTCTATTCTGGTCTTTTTATAACTCAGAAGTGATTATGTTCAAGTTCCACCCTACACTGGTATGACCTCATTAGAGTAACAAAATAAAACCCTCTTTCCAAACAGGGTCACAACCACAAGTACAAGGGCCAGAAATTCAACACATATTTTGGGGAGACACAATCCATAACAAGACCTAACTACTTAGTAAATAGAACCATTAGGAATTTCTTTTGGCTTCAAACCCATTGCCATCGAGTTGATTTCAGCTCATAGAGACCCTAGAGGGTAGAGTATAACTGCTCCATAGGATTTCCAAGGAGCGGCTGGTGGATTCGAACTGCCAACCTTTTGGTTAGTAGCCAAGTTCTTAACCACTGTGCCACCAGGGCTCCGGTACTTTGGGCTTAGGAGAGCTATGAAAACGGTACTGAGAAACTAAGGGCACCATGAACCAAGAACGGTTAGGAACTTTGGTTTAGAATCAAGCTGGGAGTTAGAAGCAGGCAGAGGACTTCCAGGCAACATGGTGCTATATTCAGAAGCACCATGCAGTCCCTCCACAGCAAAGATCTGAAAAACTAAGTCAAACAGAGTCACACCTCAATCCTGAAACCCTAAGCATCAAATGAAGAGATAAAGAACTCAGCCAACCACTGAATGGAATAAGAAACTGACCGAGAACAGAGAGCAAGGAGAGAGACGTGCAGAGATCCCCTATCAGCTACCACACTGTGGATCCTCCATCTTGGACTCCTATCACAGATCAGCAAACAGGGGGTATGAGAAAGCAGCTTCACAGAGCTTCTAGCAGGAGACAGAACAACCTGTAACCAGCGATATACGCTCTCCCACCCCCTACCCTTCTTCACCCCCACTTGGCCTCCTCTGCTTCCTGTGCCCACAGTCTCTTGTCCAGGAAACACCAGCTTCACCCTGTGTTGCTTGGATTCCACCTGCCTGCACTGGCCAGCTCCCTGAGTGATATTTGTTGGCTGCTGGTGTTGCTTTTTTCCACTTCTTTAGATTTCTTCCTTACCTCTCACCACCTCCGCCTCCTTTCTCTCAAATACCTGGCTCCATGTGCCATCTTTGCTTCTTACTGAAAGGCTATGAAACACCGCTTGACTGTGAAACTGCTTCCTGGCCCATGCCACCACACTGGTGGGGCCCCCGGGGCTTTTTTTGTTTGTTTGCTCTGATTTGTTCTGATTTGATTCGTTTGTTTGTTTTCTTTTCCTTTTCTTGGCTTGGGAACCCCTGCTCGCCAGGCAGTACCACGCGGCTTGGAAGATACTCCCT